CTTCAGAAACTGTAGAACAAGAAGAGTGATTCTTTCTACAGGTGCCTGTTAACACAGGCATGCAGTCATGCAGTTTCTCAAATTTTCTGGTGTCAGATATTTTAAGAAAAGTAGAATTTTCCTTTTTCTTGTGTTTAACTGAAGATTATGCTTTGAAATCATGATAGATATACCCCCAGTTCCTAATTTATCTACTAAAATTTGGTTTATGACAGATCAGAGAGTTAAAAAGGGCAACTGCTGTACTGACATCAGTGTGGCATGCTTATTGTCATGGGTATCTGTTTTACAAATGGGTTTAAACCATACTAACATGAACAAAACTTTCCTACTGTTTCAAAAAACCAAGAAATCTAATAGATGATCTCCTTCCCATCAAAATTCACTAGAGGGTGTTGGAATTGTTATATTAGGACTTTCAACACTGAAATTCATGCGTATTCATGTTAGTATTATTTTCTGGATATTTTGCCCATATTTGTGTAATCATTCTTTTTTTGTACTTGGTAATACTCTTTTTCTTCACACTCTTCTGAGGCAGTTGGTTTACTATCTGCTATGGCCTTAAGCAGTTGGTTTACTATCTTGCTTTGCCTTAAGCAATTTCCCAGTTCCATTGATTTTCCTCTAGCTCTAATGTTGAGGATTCAGTGGATAGTAGTTCTTCATTTGCCTTTCCCACTATCTCGTGATTTCAGAAGACTCACTCTTAGTCTCCCTTAATCACCATCTTGCCCTATAAGGGAGGCTCTGTCTTCTCATTCATTTTAGTTCTTCTCTATTAATCAAGCTCATCTATGTCCTACTCAGGCTGAAGGGACCAGAGCTCGGTAAAAACTTCAAGGTGTGATAACTTCAACGCTTTAAGTATTGGCAAAATGGCCTCTTTTCCACAATATCATTCCTGGTGATGCCCAGCATTCTCTTGGGTTTTTGGCTGCTTCTGTACCCTGAGTTAATGATTTCAGAATGATGACTTATTTTAAAGTATATCAAAATCCATTTAAAGGATTAGCAAATAAGTAAGCAATATATTTTAGCTAATATAATTTTTTTTTTCTGTCACAGAATCAATTAGATTGGAAAAGATATCTGAGATCATTGAGTCTAACCTGTGATTTAAAACCATGGTGTTCAGTAGACCATGGCACTGAGTGTCACAGCCAGCCTTGTCTTAAACCCCACCGGACAGTGATTCCACTCTCCTCTCTGGGGAGCCTATTCCAAAGCCTAATCATCCATTCTGTGAAGAAATTCTTCCTAATGTCCAACCCAAACCTCCTCTGGTGCAGCTTAAGACTGTCCTCTTCTCCTGTCACTGGTTGCCTGGGAGAAGACACCAAGCCCCACCTGGCTGCACTCTCCTTTGAAATAATTGTGGAGAGCAATAGGGTCTCCCCTGCTCCTCTTTTTTCCAGGCAGAACAACCCCAGCTCCCACAGCTACTCCTTGAAGCACTTGTGCTTTGGACCCTTCACCAGTCTTTCGGTCCTTCTCTGGACTCACTCCAGCATCTCATTGTCCTTCTGGAAGTGAGGACCCCAAAACTTGACACAAGACTATAGGTGTGGCCTCACCTGTGCTGAGTACAGAGGGAGAATGACTTCCCTAGTCCCTCTGGATGGACTGTTCTTGATAAAGAACAAAGGTTGGGATGTCATTGGCCTTCTTGGCCACCCGGACACACTGCTGGCTCATGTTCAACCCTTTTTCTCTTCATGGCTTTGTAAAGTATAGAAAATACGTTTTCTTATTTGTGATATTGCATACTTGTACATAGCAGTTAGTGTTTGGTGGAGATTCGTATGCTTTGGCAGGAAAATGGTGCTCCTGCAGTGTATTTGATACTATCTGCTGGGGAAGACAAAAATGCAAAGTTGGTATTCAGAATAATATGCATAAAGAACTCAAAAATTCTTCTAGGTAGAAGGACACCCAATCCAGGAATATTGTAAAAACATTTATTTTCCTTCTACCACACTGTACCACAAACAGCACCATGGAAAATAGTAGCGAGTCAAAGTCAGACGCCATGCTGAGATAGCAATTTTTTGAATTGCTGGATCTCTGGAGGTGACCATATCTGTCAGCTGGAAAGACTGCAACAACACCAAGAGATACATTTGCTATGAGAATAAACCATATTAAGTGACTTGAACAAAGTAAAAAACCACTGGGTGGCCAAATCACAAGGCCTGGCTGTGGGAAAGCTTTCATGCCTCCCTGAACACCTTAAAATAGATAAATTGTCTGTTAAGCAGCTAGCAATCTGGTCTCTGGGGGTCATGATGCCTGCTTAAAAACAAGAATAGTTATTGCTGACCCTTAATCTGCATGGCAGGAAAGGTTTGGCCGACCTGAAGTTGAGTCATATGTACTGCAAAGAGATGATAGATGGAAATGAGGTTATTCCAATGAGAGACATTTGTGAATGTAAGCATAAGTTTACTAGCTTCTTATTAAGCTTGGATACTTAGGGCTGTAAATCAGGTTATAAAGACATGGCAGGGCTTGGAAAAAACAGCCATGCTATTTCTGTAAGTGTATGCAGTTTTAAGTACATACATACACCTCAGTGAATTTAGGAGTCAGGTTTGTTTTTTTTTTCATAAGTTTTTGCTGACCTGGGTCATAAATTACTGCATCAGTATTACAGGAAGTGCCTGAAATTTAGTGAGCCTTTGGTAAAATGTGCAAAAATTCCTTTCAACTGAAAATACATTTATATTTTTCATTTGAAAGAATTCTAAAGTCTTAGTCCTGTTCCAGGCCGCCCTTCTTGCTTTGTAGATCTCAGCCTATCTTCATAGGACAGGTGCTCCAGCTGTCTGATCAATTTGGTGGCTCTTCTCTGAATTTGTTCCAGCAAGTTCACCTCTTTCTTGTGTTGCAGACCCCAGAGCTGGATGCAGGGTTCCAGGGGGAGTCTCACCAGAGCAGAGCAGAGGGGCAGAATCCCCTCCCTTGATCTGCTGCTCACACCTCTTCTGATGCAGCCCAGTGTAAGATGGGCTTTCTGGGCTGTCATTGCACACTCTTGGGTCATGTTGAGCTTTTCATCCACCAACATCCCCAAGTCCTTCTCTTCAGGTGTGCTCTCAATTAATCCTCCATCTGGCCTGTGTTTGTGCTTTGGATTGCCCTGACCCACGTGTAGGACCTTACAGCTGGCCTTGTTGAGCTTCATGAGGTTCCCACAGATGTGTGTGGAAGCAGACTTGTTTCTCAAGCCTGCTAAGGTCACTCTGGATGGCATCACTTCCCTCCAGCTATGTTGACAGACCCCCACACAGCTTGTTTTTTTTGGCAAATGACACTGAGGATCTTTAATTGTGGTCAGTACAATTTGCTTAGGAATAACACGTGTTAATCTGTTGACCTCAGAGCTTGGCTAACAAGCCATGCTCTGAAACCTTGGGTGGGTTTTTTTGGCACTGCTTAAAAGCTGAACACCGTTTAACCTCAAGCTAATGGTCACTCTGGAGAATGGCATCTCATTTTTTCACTCTGGAAAATCTTACTAAAATTCTTTGTGTAGGGACTGCTCAATTGCCCAAGCTATACATGGTATTTACACCAATATACTGAACCTTTTCTGGTACACTGTCATTGCAGATTAAGAATTTTTACTTTATCTCTCTGAGGCCTCTGGTGCACTCTGTTACAGATAGTTCCTCTGGATCTACCTGTAGAATAGCAGCACCAACATACAGAAGTGAATTTGTGAGCTGTTACTGGACATTGATTACAGGACGGAAAAAAAGGTGTTGCAAAAAAAAAAAAAAAAAAGCCCTAAAGTATAAAGATCAATGAAGGGATGTGTTTACAATGAGAGAAAATTGCTTTTCTCATTGGTAACTGTATCCCATTTATTGTATTCAGTAAAAATCCAAGGAAAGGAGAAAAGTTTCTCTGCCCTTCAGATAGTATTTCCTGGCTGGCTCTTGATGCAGAAGCTCATGATATGACCAGGTAACAGGAGAAGGTAACTTGGACAAAATATGTCTGACATTGGTGTTACTCATAAACTACATTTTTATTGGCTATGCTGTATGTTGCTCAAGGTTGGAGAGGACTGGCAGGAATGTCAAGGAATGTCCTGATGGTCTGCAGAAGCCACTGAGTCTTGATAGAACCCTCTAGATGGTCGATTTTGTCTGGTCAAAGCAATGTTTAAATAGATTATTTTCCCAGAGGGGTGAAGTGGCTGAGTGGTGTGGCTGTAACCTGCTAGGTGCTGGGAAAGAAGCTGTGAGTGGTAGAAGCTCTCTGTGGTAGAAGGCAGAGTACAGGTAGAAGGAACCTTTTGTTTTCTTCTCCCCATGTCCTTAGAGAAAGAGATGAATGGGAAAAGTGGCTCCCTGCAAGGCAGGTGCCTCATGCCTGTGGCTCTTTAAGCCTCATGACGTTATTGCTCCCTTCAAACTTCATCTGGGATTCTTTACAGATTAAAAAACCCAAAACATCCAAAACCAAACCAAACCAAACCAACCAACCAAAAAACCCCAAAACCAAAACAACAAAAAAAAACCAAAACCAAAACAAACAACAAAAAACAACCAAAAAAAAAAAAACCCCAAAAATTCCAAAACCAGAAGAGGAAAAAATCTCCACTGTGGTCAGCGTGCTATTTTGCCTACAGTAAGAGAAAGATTTCCTTGTGTAAACTTGTATGTAATAAAAGCAGAGGTGCTCAAACAAGCTTACATTACCATAATTTATTTCACATTAGTAATGAGCATTGTAATAGATGTATTTTAAATACCACATGTTCTATGACATTTTATGTGGGGTTTTGTTATTTTTGCCCTTATTATTTCACTGTTAATGAAAAAAAATTGATTTATTTTTTTCTTATGGTTGTGTTTTGCCTTTTTCCTGCCATTTGAAACAACAAGAGGAAGATTCAAAATAGTTGCACAGCTGGTTTCACACTGATATGTTAAATCAGTTACAAAAAGATAGCACATAGTTTCTTAATTTTTAAAATTATATTTCAGATACCTCTTATATCTACAAATAAAAAGGGACATTTTCCATGGCCGTTTGCTGTGCTCCTTTTCTGATGCTGCCTACTTGGGTGCCTGTATAGTCCAAGGTAAGTATGAACAGGCTTCTTTAAATACTTCAGTCTTATGTTGGTTCTGTCAAATAAGCAATGCAAAACTTGTGTGACTACAGCTAGCAGTAACTTCTTGTTGTTGTTGCTGTACTGTTTCCCTGTATTGATATGCACTGTGAAGTAAGCAATTCTGGCAGTTAGCCAGTGAAGTGGAACTTAAAAAATTAAACCAAATAAGTTATCTTAGCATTTTAGTGAAGAAGTATGCCATCTTTGTTAGATTCCACTTACCAAAAGAGAAAAACTCCATTCTGAATCCTGAATGGAAATGTAGCCTATTCTGTTTGAATTAAGGAGGAAAAGGATTTGATGTCCTTTCTTATGTTAAAGAAGACCTGTATGGTGATGGAATATCTGACAAAAAATAGAAGATATAAGTCAAGAGAAAAGAAATTTTAGTTTATTTTCCCTAGCTTTTTTTTTTTTTTTTTCCCTCTCTCTCTCCATCATTTCCTTAGGACCAAATTCAGACAGATGTCTTTATTTGTACAGAGACAAATAATCATCTTTAAATGTCTGATCAGGGAAACCATGAGTGTGAACGTTCCCTTTATTCTGCCTGAAGGTGAACAAAGCTCTTAAAGCGTTACAAGGCAGTGTATCCAAACCAAAACTGAGCCCAGCCCTTATTAAATGAGACTCATTCAGAAAATTAGAACACCAAATGTCAGGTTTGTGTACCTAAGTGGCACATCTTTTAGAAAAGAAAACAAGTTCTGCCTGTTACCTTGATTAACATTGTGGACTGTGTTTCTCTGCTAGAACAGAATTAGGACCAGTCCATGCCACTGCAGATAAATCATGTGAAAAAGGGGAGAATCAAGAATCCATTATTTTAGGTCTGCGTGGTAAAAATAAATACTCAAAGTGAAACATTGCCAAAGCTTCTGTTTTACAGAGCATTTTCTGCCACAGAAAATAGTTCAGTATTGCTAATTAATGCAATAGTTAATAAACCATTGAACTTCTCTTGAAACTCATTGATTAAAGTGACAGATATAAGGATTTTCTTGTTTCAGTTAATTATAAATTCCTCAAAGAAACATTTCTTGAGACATACTAGATGCTTACTTATTGTGGATGTACCTTGAATTACAGTGCATTTACTGACTTCTTTCCCAATTAATTAATGTTACAATTCAATTTTTCTGCTTTGTTTTGTGTTTTGGATCTGTTCAGCTGAGCTTGGTGATTATGATCCTGATGAACACCCAGAGAATTACATCAGCGACTTTAAGATTTTTCCGAAGCAGTCACAAAAGCTTGAGAAGAAAATAGCTGAAATGCATAAAAATGAATTCAGGTAATTTGTAATGCTGTTTGATAAAGAGACAGCTAAGAAATACTTTTATCTATTTCCAAGTTGCGCATGTTAACTTAAGAGGCTTTGTTCCATGAGTTATAATAGAAGCTCTACCAATATGCTGTCTGATAGGCTGTGCTTGAAAATGTGGCTTCAGCTCAGGGGGTTTTCTTTGCCTGTTAACCTTCATTAATCATACTTGATTCCTGCATGACTGCTGGTAATTTAGACTTCATTTGCTTGAAATGTAGGTCTGGTTAGTGGGAACAGCTCTCATGATCAGAGCTGCTCTAGTTGATTAGTGGAATAACATCTTTCATTTAGGTAGCACATGTTTCTTGCTCAGAAATTTCTGTCTGTAGTGCAATTCTAAAATTCTTGGTAGATATTGACCTGATTGAAACTGTAATTAGGTTATTTTATCTGTCGGTGGTTAACGTAGTGGTGAATTGCACAGAAATGTATTTAACTTCCTTGGAAGACTAAGGAGGTGAGATCCGGAACTCTCTGCATGCTCTTTTTTCCATCCTAAACTTTTAGTACTGCAACAAAACGCAAAGGAGAAAACAGAGTAGTCAATCGTTTGATTTTTAAGTTAAATGAGTTTCAGGAGAGAAGGAACAGTGAGCTGTGCAACTATACCCTCTTCAGGGTTGTTAGTGAATGACATGCAGAGTGTGTGGAGGGAGATTTCATGAGGCCCTCGGCATCCTGCTTAGTTGAGGATGGTCTTCAGAACACGCGGAAAGGCACAGGATGTGCAGAAAATCAAATTAAATCAAATTATTAATTACATAACTAGAAGGACATTTTTATGGAAAGATCACAAGGCCCTTTGCATTTGCTTACCCTGTGTTCTGTTTTCATATTTCAACATATGCAAAGAAAGGAGCAAAATTCCTTTTAAGGAGAGTTAAAGCTTAAAACACTTTTTATTTCCAGAAGCCTATAAAATATATTTTTCGAGTAAAGTTCAACACTCATGACAATAAGATTGCCAGTATTAATCTGTCTTTTTTTTTTCTGAAACCTATATACTTTCTTTGTATTTCTTTCAGTGAAATAATGTTTTAAATGGTTTATATCTAATATTTCTTAAAGCAGTTCAGCCTGCCCGGTACACAGACCCATAGAAACAACATTTTAAAATAAGAATAACTTATTTTACTGTCAGTATTTTCCGTACACTGTCTACAGATTTCCAAAGGATAAATTCAACCTTTGAAAAGATATTTCATCAGTTAAGCCAAGATGCTATTGAAAAGTCTTCATAAATTCAGTCTTTCATTAACAGTCTCATGCTTTACTCAAGGTTAAGAGAAGAACGGAAAGCTGGTGGGCCGGTGCTGGTTGGTATTATACTTTGTAACACTGGCAGAGATGTATTTTTCTGTCTGGTTTGCTTTTTTACAAATGTGTAATTCTGCATTCTTTGTTCATGCAATCATCTAGTTCTCCTGTTATGAATAACCAGACATATTTTTAGCTCATCTTTTAAATCCCCTTTCCTGTCGGTATAATCTGTCTGATCCTGTGACAGTGAATGTTATAAACTTTCACACAGGTCCCTCTGGGATTTTCCAGGGCCTGAATTCCTTCCATCAGTGGCAGCTCAGCACATGAGGATGTCCCTGAATTTCTTCAGTATTCTTGTCAAGGGACACCATTCATTATTGCCTTTTGGAAATCAGATGATATTAGGCTGACTTTTTTTGCTTGTGGATCTTCTAGTTCCTACAAAAAAAACCCAAACCAAACAAAAAAACAAAACAAAAACAAAAACAAAAACAAAACAAAATGCCCAAACAAAAACAACCAGGAGGTGTTTGAGACACATCTATGTGTTATAGCACAATTCTGCTCATATATTCCATATATTCTTCTCATATATTCTCATTATATGTTCCTTAATTTGCTTTCTATTCTATATTTTACCAATTTTAATGTTATGAATTTTAGGCTCAGTGGCTCAGTTCTTTGTAGCCTTCAAGAACTGCCATCTTTCTTTTCTGTTTTCTTTGCTTATGTCAGCATCTTGTGTGCCTTACCTATTTGTTTATTATCAGAGAATAAAGGCAGTTTCAGAGCTGTCTGGGTACCTGCTCTTTGGTAATTTCCCAATCTTTGTTTTCCCCAAACTGATAATCCTCTAATATTTTTTACACCAGACATTAGCCAGTCATTTGTCAGGAAGTTTTACCTTTTGATGGATATTTAATTCCACAGATCTCTATTCTAGCATTACAATATTCATCAATATTACATCAGCATATTCTAGAAGTACAATATTCATTCAATATTACATCAGCATATTCTAGAAGTACAAATTAATAAAACATATCTGACATATAATGAAGTATATAGAGAGGGTTCCAGTACTAGATTATCATATTTTGATATAACCAGCTGCAAAAAAATTATAGGAAAAAATGGGCTTCTCTTTGGCATTGATTAGCACATGCGTTTCAAGGCATTCAATGCATTCTTCAGGAAGTCCAATTTTCTGATAACAATTAATATTGTGCTGCTCAGCGAGTATTTTTAAGAGTTGCAAGGGATCTCTCAGGTTTTTTCCTTGGAGATACTCAAGTGCCATGTTAGCTGAACAGATGAGACTGATAGCCTTTTTAATCCAGCTGCCGTTCATCTGCCTTCACGATTGTAACCTCGCAGTTTCAGCTCTGTGAGCTTCTTTCACCTGTGTAAACAAACAAAGACAATGACATCTCTCTCCAGCACTGGGCTCCCATATCACCAAAGCCCTGGGGCTTGGAAGAGGCCAGTTCTTCTCTGAATCCTGTATCAACGTCCTTAAGGCCTGTTCATTGGTCCCACCTTTTCTTCTGTCCTATAGAAAGATGGAAGAGTTTAGCTTTAGAAAGGAGCATGAAGATCAAGAGAGGAGTGTCTCAGAAGCAACAGTGGGGTACTGTGACAGCTTCCAGTGACTCACTCAGTTTTATTTAGAAGCCTTTTTTAATTACTTAAAGCAGATGTGTGACAGGGTATCATTATTTCTTATTGGTTTTAGCTATGAGGTCATTACTGGATTTAAGAAAATATAATCCATTGTGTGACTTTCTGTTGCACTTAATTGCAAAAATATAAATGTGACAGACAGGAATTCATGGCAGGTTTGTTGAGTTGTGATTGTCTTGTGAATTTTTATTCTTCCCTCATTAAGGGAGGGGGAGCTACAGAACACGACAAAATACAGAAGAAAAAAATACCTTCTAAAGAATTTGATATCAGGTCTTACGTCCTTTAACAGAGTTTATTACTCTGATAAACTTCCCTAGTTTTGGAAAGATACCTTTTAGCCAGAGGTCCCAGGGGCTAGGCACCAGAAAAAATAAAGATTTGTAAGGGAAATGTTGACATATGTCCCTAACAAAGGAATTCATGTTTATAGGACTAATGTTTTGGTAGGGTTTTTATTCAGGTTTTTTTGATTTTTTTTTTTTTTTTTATTTGGTTTTGGGTATGGTTTTTCTGGGGGGGGAGTGGGAGTCTTTGCTTTTTTTTTTTTTCTTTTTTTAGAAGAACTTTGAAAGTCAAGTACTTTTATATGCCATCTGAAAACTAGTATTCCATTTTTAGTTCTGATATGAAATATTGCACCATATATTTATGGAAATGTTATGTAAAACGCTTTAAATTTACCTGAAAGCCCCCCAAAAATATTTACTTTTTCAAAGTTACATGACCTGTTCAAATGCCTGTTTTCAATGCTGAACTCATATAGGTAAATATAAGGTTTTTTATTCCCTTGGATGACCAATGTGGTTGCAGGCTCGGGGTGTCTGAATGTTACTGAATAGGCTTTTGTCTCTACTTTGTGTATCAAATGATTTGCAGGAATCATATGTGAAAGACTGTCTTTTGAGAGAAGAAAATTTTCCTCTGAGGATGTGAAATCACTGCCATTTTCTGATAATAACTATCTCAAAAATGTTAAGATAAAGGGAGTATTTTCTCGAAAACCAGAGTAGCAAATTATTGCTTGTCTTTGATCCAAGCTAAAAGAGAAGTGTTGTTTAAATTTGTTTTGAAAGGCATATAACATTTTTATCCTTTACTGTATCATCCACACTGTAACTGCGCAGTGAGGATTTAAGCGCGTTCCAATTTCCTGTGCTCCTTTGACTCTCACTGTTCTCCCTTAGCCGTCCCATCAGCTCCCATGTGGCTTTTACAGTGGTGCCAGCAGGAGCACAGGATATCCCAGCCTCCACCAATGTGGCTCTCCAGCTCTTGTGCAGCTGTCAGTGGAGCCACTGGCAAGCATGCCTATAAATGTTACTGTCTGAGTGCAATCTGGGAGGCTGTCCTAAAAGACTTGGCAATGGTTGCTAGAAAATGCTTTTCTTTGTGGGTGTTAATATAATTTCAATCAAGATTAAACAATACATTGAAATTCAGCATGCAATGAATACATTAAAAAGCACTAAAACTAAATTTTGATCTAGCTAATCCGGAATAAGGTGAATTTGTTTCATTTTGGTGCTTCTCACAATTAAAAGTTCATATTATGTGGTTTTATGCATAGTGCTGGTGGCCCACTCATGTACACTTTAAATTTAGCTTCTAGTAGTACTTGAATCACTTTGGTATCTAACAGCCTTGTATACACTAAGGGAATTTAATTCAAAGGACGGATAGTATGCTCCAAAACTTGCAATTCATGTTACAGAAAATAGAAGCCACTTTTCTGGGGATCAAGGATCTGTTGAGGTTTATGTGGAGCTGAGGGGGATGTTTGGATCAGAGCAGGGCTTGGGCTACTGCAGGGATAAGTGCTTTCCAGACCTCAGGACCCAAAGTATTTTTAGTTCCTGGTAATACAAAATATACTGAGGGCTTTGGAGGGCTCAGTCCAGTGTCTTCTTCATTTCAGCTTTGGTATCCCATGCTGCCTGAGTTTTCCAGTGAAGCAATTTAGATTTATCTATCAGGCCGTATGTTGGCCACTGTCACTGCTTGAAAACGAACTAATTCTC